TGTGGTTAATGCTGCAGTATAAACACATCAAGTCACCGTCAGCTTATCTGGGGTATGTATGTCTGCTTGTTTAAAATCTTTTTCAGGTTCCAGGCCAAAATCGAAACAATGGTTGACCTCACCCAGCTCATGGAAAATGAAGTGTTCATGGCCTTTGCCTCCTATGCAACGATTGTTCTTTCAAAAATGATGTTCATGAGTACTGCCACCGCCTTCTACAGATTGACAAGGAAGGTAAGGCACTTGGAGGCAACACCTTCTCTTAAGAGATGGGAATCTGGAAAACAGTGTTCGTACTTTACTGTACTTTTTTGTAAAGCCCACTGGCAGATTGTTAAATACCGCAAAGGAAATGTACAATTGTTTGGTATACGTGGATCTGACATATTTATGGAACCAGGTGCTTTCTTCCAGAAACTAGTAAATGGTTTTTTTCTCTATGCCTTTTGCTTCTTATCCTGCTGCTCAGCATGTGAGATTTCTGGAGTACCAAAGTTTTCAAGGAAACTTTATGATTTTTTTTGAAGTTAGTGTTCCCAACTAGAGTTTAGAAAATAGTCATTTTGTAGACAGTTAACTGGAGTTTTCAGCTCTATTACAGGTCAAAGATATGCTTTGGGGACAGAATTAAAGTTCTTTTTATTATTGGTAGAGCCTCTTATGATTGGGATGAGGCGTTTGAATTTTGTGTGGTGATGACTTCTTAAGTGGATAGTATTTCTACCCAGCATTATAAGAATGATTTTTTTTTTTTAAACTGGAGGCTTGGAGAGTGTGGTAGAAAGATTTTGAAACACATAACCTGTACTTAAGCAGGGTCTGTGACGACAGTGATGGGGTAAAGCAAAGCTATGTTGACAAAGTTAAATAATTTTCAGGGGTGTGGTCCCTGTGAGATAGGCAGGAAGGGGGCAGGACACAGCCATTAGAGGAATGACACAGTAATTAGCACCAAGGTGATGAAAAAGGCAACTCTCAATAGTCCTTGAGGTCCAAGATGGAGGGGGATTTAGCAACCCCGACACCGCGCGACCGACCTCATTTTCCCAGCCAGCCCCATGCTCTGAAGCTGCCGCTCTCTGAGTAAGATGGCCCACATTCTGCCCATGGAATGTGTATCTTCTAGGCCCCTCCGACTTTTCTCTTGTCTTTTGAGATGGCCTGCACTCTGTCCTTGGAGTATCTCTCTGAATAAATCTACTTTTACTCAACGGTGGCTCACTCTTGAATTTTTCCTGAGCGAAGCCAAGGACCCTCACTGGGTGAGGCGCGTCCCAGGGACTCAGCTGAGACCTGGGACATGGCCAACCTCTCGTGCCCCATTTTTTCCTATGTCACCTGTGCCCAAATTCAGCACCTTCTTCCTGGAAACTACATATTTCTCTTCTAGTCCCTGTCCTGAGTTTTTTGTCCTCCAGAGCTTTACTTTTATCTAGAAGACACAGACCTCCCTAAGGGATGTCCTTATTACTGAGTTGAGATGTCACCCTGCCCAGGGGTACTTGCATTTTAATGGGGGCTCATACCCCCATGTTTAAATCTCTAATGGGGCAAGATGTGAGAGCAGCAGGCTATAAAGTGGCTGCTACCTCCAGGTCTTCACTGTCCTTTAAGAATGTAGTGGCACCAAGGATGGCAGAAATGGAGCTTGTTTAAAAAGAGAAGAAGGGAAATCAAATTTGTGGCGTGTCAGTGGTATATGCTCAGAGCCATGCTGCTGTCTGTGTGTGCCAGATCGTGGAATCATTTTGCATAATTGTTAGCATTATCATGTAAGATGATCATGACTCTTCCCATCTTATAGATGAGGAAATAAAAGTCAGAGAGGTTCAGTAGCTTACCTCTTCACTGGTTACACATTAATAAAGGGTGAGATTCAAATTTGTTCTGGTTTAAACTCAAATCCCACGCACTCTCCATTGTGAAATACATTTATTTACTTACATCAGAATATATTTATTGAACATCTAGTGTGTGCCAGGCATTTATTTAGGGACAAGATAGGTGGATCTGACCTCAAGAGCTGATACCGTGTCATGTCTCTGCCCATTGATTCTCCTCAACATCTTTATCTGAAATAAATGCTCATGTCATATTAGGAAAAAATGTCATATTTATGAGATTTCTCTGCTTAAATTAAGGCTAATTTTATAGTTCATGTTTTTCCTTATTATAAATTATTCAGTGGTGGAATATACTTAAATATTTTTAAATGCATGTTTCAAGTTTCAGGGGATGGGAAATCATTTCAAACAGCATAATTATTGCAGGAAGGAGTATATGAGCACGTGCCCTAGAACTCACGTGCTTGGTATTTACAGGAGCACAGTTCGGCTTCTTATATTTCACTGTATTATTCAACCAAAAGTTTTAGTTAATTCAGAAAAAAAAGATAAGAGACCCAGATACCCTAACAAGGTACAAAATGCTATTCCTGCCCCTCACTCTTTTGTTTTTTCTTCATGCCTGTTCAGTCTCC